TATTTCGTCTTCATACTTTTCTACTGGATGGTTAAGACCAAGGTAAAGCAGGACCTGTGCAACAAGAGTTGTAGCTTTTTGGTCTGAGAAGGTCAGTGGATTTCCTTCAGTTTAAATGTCATAGCATCTGCAATTACTTATTTATGTCTCCACTTTTCTCTGCCCGTCATCCTCCACAGTGGGACACTGAGTCATTCATCTCTGCACACCAATCCCTCTCACAGGACCAAGCACACAGTAGGGGTTCAATAAATGTTTGCTCACTGAATCCCTTAACTTCACAAGCCAGTGCAAACGCTAAACAAAAGCCAAGGATAGTGGTGCACGCATGTAATCCCAGCACTCTGGAGGCTGAGACAGGAGAATTATAGAGCTCGAGACCAGCCTGGGCTATACAATTGAGCTCAAGGCCAGCCTGAACCGCATAGTAAGACCCTGTCTCAGGGCCTGGGGAATAGCTCAATAGAGTAAGTGCTTGCCTGACAAGCACAGGGTCCTGAGTTCAATCCCCAGTACCACAAAAATAAGTAAATAAATAAATACTCTTAGATTGCTTTAAAAAAAAAAAAAAAAAAACCCTGTCTCAAAGACAAAAAAAACTAAACAAGTTCAATTCTAGACCTTTCAGGTTAACCACCTGAAAGTAGCTTTGTCTGATGATGTAAGACAGCAATCAGCAAAGGCTTCTTAAATTCTTTAGAGAACTATATCTTCTCCCAACTGTTCTCCCTTATCCATACAGACCCCAGCAAACTCTGTAACTCCCCACAGCTGTTGTTGCAGCGATTCCTAGCTTAGTGTATACAGGTGCTGGTACAGCTGAAAGGGCACTGCGGCTCAGGGGTCACTCACTGCACTCCTCCTCTTGGGCTGTAAGAATAACAGAAGACCGACGGGACACCAAAGCCAGCCAGTAAGGGTAAGCATTCAGGAACTGGGTTGCCATATAGCATCTATACAGGTGGTCCCATACAGATAAGCCACCACCCAAGGCTGATGTCTCATTAAAATGTTACGCTCAAAAAAATATTTTCCTCTCCTCCAAAGCAAGATAAAAAGCTTTTATTACATCAACAAAAATTTAACACTGCCCTTGACATCTTTAAAACAAGAAATGCTTTCTTACACAAAAAATGCTAACCAGGAAGGTTTTAAGCACAAAAATTCAACATGTTTTATGTTCGGACTCCTCCTACTTCAAAAGAATAAAATGCTAAAATAGTTATGTATCGGCAAGGATCAATAAAAACAAATACATTCAAGGAAGCAAAACCTTTATCAGCTGTAATCTGTAAGATAGTTCATAATCCTTCAGCACAGAAAAAAAGGATAAGGTCAAAACTGACAATTCTGTGTTCATCACCATACCCAAATATGTACAACTGAAAGGACAAATTTTTATATTATGACAACATGAATTTTGAAAACCCCAACTTGGATAACAGTAAATGATGAAGCCTCCAAACAGCAGTGTAACGTGTAATTAACAATGGCATCATCTTCTACACCAGATCCAGTTCCACTTCCGCCCCCCAAGTATCTATCCCAGCAAGGTGGGAAGACTCAGACTCATGTTTGGAGATGTTTCACTAGTCTCCTGAGAATGCTCAAACGGCCAGGGGTTCTGGGGGACTATTTTTACCTAAAAGCTTCAGCAATCTTCTGAACACTTACCAGCCAACTCGTTCGTACAGGATACAGCTAGGTGCTCAAAGAACTCAGCAGAGATCTTCAATTTTAACTGCTGACCTCGTTAATTTCTGGTCTCGCTATCGACGCGGGTACTGATAAAGCTAAAGCCTAGGAAGGCAGCCGCCCTTCCATCCTGCTGGTTCACCATCTAGTGAACCCGCCTACAGAGGAAATAAAGGGCAGGGGCCTATGATGGGCAGCAAAACGCGGGGAGCGTTCGCGCAGGCAAATGAAGCGGGCATAGGTGGGACCGCACGGGGTGCGAAAGGAGACGTGCGCACCCACATGGAGAGGGACGGAGGGAGGGAACGACCCAAGGATTGGCTGGAAGCTGGAGTCCGGAGGTACCTACCCGTCGAAGCGCACGGTGCCGGTCTGCTGGGTCTGCACTCGGTAATGCTCTAAGAGCAAGCGCACCACCTTGGCGTGCCCGTTGCGGGCAGCGATGATGAGGGGCGTGGAGCGCTGCCCTCCCTGCTGGCTGACATAGCCAAGCAGGTAGCGGATGTCGCTTTCAGACCGGTTGAGCAGCAGGGCAGCCAGAGTCAGCACCTTGCCCTCGCTGGCCGCCTTGTACACATAGCCAGCCAGGCCCTCCATGGCCGCCGCCAACTCCAACACCCGTTTGGTCGCCACCGCTGCTGCCGCCTTGCGCCCCCGGAGGCCGCGTCCGCCAGCACTTCAGACCTGGGCCCTCCCGGCCCATTCAACAGGGAGCCGCCGCCGCCGCCGCCGCCGCCGCCGC